CCCTTAAAAACCCACATAAGGGGGCACATCCCCCTTCTGGCAACCCCCTGATGTAACATTTGGATGGGGGACCACGCCGAAAAAGTGGTGACTTTTTTAACAACATTTCTCAAACGAAAACCAGTGTCTGGGGCCTAAATAGGACATTTCACTGTTTGAGGCCTCAAAAGGGGGGGAGGGGGGGGGGGCAAAAAGCCGTCGAAACACGCTTATATGAGGGAAAAGGTTAAGCCCAGTTTTATTAATATTTAATCTATGAGGATAAATAATGGAGAATATTTCAGTTTTTAAATTTGATACGGATCTTGATCCTAAAATTTTAGTGAATACGGGTCCAGAGTTCTGCATGGAATTAAATTCTTTGAACAATTTTTAAAGTTGACTACCAAAGGAACATTCCTGTGAAGTTTTGATAAAATTGGCCCAGCAGTTTATGAGATTTCATTTAAAGTAAAAATTTACGGATGGATGAACACAAAGCAATCACTAAAGCTCACCATGTCACTTTGTGACAGGTGAGCTAAAAACAAGTGCAACATTGTTACATAATACGCCCGTCATAAAAGGTTTTAACAGAGATGTGGGCATTATAGATATGCATATTGAAGGAATGCTCTATTCCTCTGGGCAATATCTGGATATTTTGTGATCTCAAGTGTTTGTTTGATTTTACGCCTCCCCCCCCCCCCCCCCCAAACAGTATTTCAGTCATATAGGCGGGTAGTTTTCTTAACCATCGTTCCTGGAGAGTTATACCAGTACTAGACTACCTTCCTCCGCGCTAAACTACCAAAACATCTCCTGGGGATCAAACCCTCGCCAGAGAGGTAACTGGATTAAAAGTAATCAACTCTAACCCCTCGACCACAGAGGCGGTTATAATCACAAGTGACGTTGCAAATTCACCTAAATTACATGTGTCACACTTGTAGTCATCATTTTTGTTACAATCCATCAATAAATGATGACTGAATGGTCCCTGTACACATCTGGTCCGAATTCACATTTCAATCTGAACTTTTGACACCTATGTGTGACCTTGACTGCAAGGACCTTGATTTTGCTCCCTACCCTCCGCCTCACAATGGTAAACATTTGTGCCAAGTAATATCGCAATCTGTCTATGCATGTAGAAATTTTGTGTTTTTCAATGACCTCCAAGTGTGACCTTGACCTTTGTCCCAGAGACGCTTCTCATAATGGTGTACATTTCTATGAAGTTTCATAAGAATTTTGGGATGCCTGTAGGAGATATGCTCAAGACAAAATCTTTGTATCATCCGTAGTGACCTTGACCTTCCATATATTAACCTAAATTACATGTTTCACACCCGTAGTCATGATAAGGACCATTTGTGTTTCAATCCCTCAATAAATGATGACTTAATGGTTTTTGACCCCTATGTGTGACTTTAACAGCAGGGACCTAAATTTTGCATGCGACGCGTCTCCTCACTATGGTGAACTTTAGTGCCAAGTAATACAGAAACCCCTTATGTATGTAGAAGTTTTGCTCCGGAAAAGCTGTTTTCCCCCAATGACCTCCAAGTGTGACCTTGACCCGATTCATGTGTGCAACACAGCTTCTCATAATGGTGGACATTTCTGTTAAGTTTCATTAAAATTCCTTCATTAGTGTAGCAAATATGCTCCGGACAAAATTGAACGACCCCAACAGGGACGCTCCTATAATAGGACCCGTTTTTCAACACTACTTGTCTTAACAACTGCGCCTTGTCATACCATATCATCTATTCAGAGTTTCATGTTGGTATGATGTTTTCATTTAAAGAACTTGTACAATGTTGTCATAGCGACTTTTTCTTCAAGACAGACAAGCTGATACAATGATATAGGAGCATTAATATATAACATCCTATACGCTCTAACTATAATAGTGGTTCTTCACTTATATACAATGTATTATATATACAGATAAAATAAAGTCTGAAGATTTTTCTAATTTTTTTTAATCCATGCTGTTCAGAAATAAACAGTGACAAATTTTGAATATAATTCAGCACTATATATTCAAATATCTCTTTAAATATTGTGAATAGTAAAATTTTCAAATTCATTTTCTTTACAGAAGATTTGCCAATTTAACAAATAAATAATCAACAGCAGGAGTTTTAGATATTTATCAATCATACAGAATTTTATACCCTTTCCCCTAATTCCCATTTCTATGCATTTCACCAAAATATCTGAATTAACATTACTTTACATTACACTGCTCAAAAACAAAAAAATTATTACTCTTATTATTCTTTCTCTAACACAAATCAAAATTGCATCTTAAAACTTTAATGTTTTCACTAACAATAAGCCTGAGTCACAGAAAAATCTCAGTATATCAAGGTATATTTTAACTAATTTCTATCTGATAGTGTAACCAAATACTTCAATATAAAATAATAAACCTGTAGGAAGAATGATTTTGGACATTTTACCCATCAAAGTAAATTAAAAAAAAAAAAAAATTCATTTTAAATCTCAGTCATTTTGATTTCTGCTACTTCAAAAATATAAAAACATTATGTAATAAATTTCAGGAATTCAAACTTTTAGTAATAAAATTTGATGTACATGTAAAGTAAAAATCAGATCAAGCCCCTAAATGCATTAACCACCAATTCTTGTCAACAATTCCAAGTTTATCACAACATGTTTACAACTGTAGCACTTTCTCAACATTTCTAATCAAATTTAGCACTTGTTGAAATAAATGAGTAAATGTATGATAATTTAACAGGTTTTTCATGCTTCCATCTCTACACCACCTTCAGCTTGCTCCGCTACAGCTTTACCAGCTCGCTTCTTCTTTTTCTTCGCAGCTTTACGTGACGCTGACTGGGCTAGTAAAGCCTAAAATAACAAAATATAACTTACTTTTTACCTGCAATACCTTAATTTAACAAAATATAACTCGCTTTTTACCTATAAATAAAACATAATTTCTGTTAGTTTCTTAAAGGCCCATGATTTCTAAGAAATGATGTCATTTTTATTTTCTCAGAAACTATTTATTTTTGGTATCTTGTAATAGTTTCCAAAAATATACTCATTTGCTATATACATGCACTATCTTATGCTCTGTTTGGCAATTTGTATAATTATAGTGAATATGTATTTTGTATGGAAGTCAAAGTTTGTTTACATTTTGCTAACTTTACGACACACAACTGCATTTTCAGCTCTACTTTTTTCAGTTGTTAAACATCTAACAAGTTCATAATCCATAATTTAAAACTTATAAAAAACATGTTTGACATTTGTAAAGAATTAAAAAGATATAGGATTCTGAGGCATAATGTGCCTTTAAACCAACACAATCAAAATTTTTCTACATCTTCATTCACAGTAACAGTATTGTATAATTTACACTAGGAATGAAATATCCTCTGACATTAATAAATACTGAAATAAATATAAAACATATACAGTCAACTATCGTTATCTCGACATTGCTTTCCTCGATATTTCATTATCTAGATGAAATTTCAAAAATCCTGATTTCCTTCCTTCTTTATCTATATTGGAAATATTTGTTTATCTTAATATTTTTATTTCGATATTTTCAGTATCTCAGAGTAAAATTTCAGCCCCCATCAGTTATTTTCACACTATTATCCTATGTTCATCTTGACTAATAATTTTTCTTCTGTCCCTTTTAGAGGTGCAAAAATCAGAAACCAGATGGTAATTGCTCAATAGCGCATGTCATAATGTTTTTTTTGGACAGTCCCGATGACTTCGAGATAACGAGAGTCGACTGTGTTAGTTTATCAGTGTTACCTTAAGATCTTCGTCTTGTACACTGTATTCCGTCTCATATATATCTGTGTCAAATGGAAGGCCAGTTATTTTCAGTGGTCCATTAGGCATGAGAATCACAGTAAACTTGAACTGAGCAACCACCTCTCCTGTAACAAAACATATATATATGAACTTTATTCAACCACCTCTCCTGTAACTAGAACTGCCACTGTCATGGCGTGAATACCCCCACATACCACTTTGTCAGAATTAACAGTGGCCATTTAGAGCTCAAGGACAGCGTCCCTGCCAAATCTGAGGTTACTTAGCCAGTGCTATGTATTCTACATGCTTCAAATGTGAAAATGTCAAAGGACAGGCATTCTTAAGCAATTGAGGGGAAAAGCTTTTTTTAGTTGACCTTTGACCCAGTGACCCTCAAAAGCAATAGGGGTCACCTTATAGTCATGATCAACCTCCATGCCAAATATGAAGACTATGGGTCAAAGGAATATTAAGTTAATGGGTGGACAATATATTTGAAGTCAAAGTCCATGTGACCTTGATCTTTGACCCAGTGACCTTAAAATAAATAGGGGTCACCTACTAATCATGACTAACCTCCATGCCAAATATGAAGACTATGGGTCAAAGGAATCTTAAGTTATTGAGCGGACAAGCTTTTTTAGTCAAGGCCCCTGTGACCATGACCTTTGATCCAGTGTAATAAAAATAAATAGGGGTCATCTACTTATCATGACCAACCTCCATGCCAAATATAAAGACTCTGGGTCAAAGGTTTCTTAAGTTATTGGGCCGACAAACTATTTGAAATCAAGGCCCCTGTGACCTTTGACCCAGTGACCTCAAAATCAAAAGGGGTCATCTACTAATCATGACTAACCTCCATTCCAAATATGAAGACTGTGGGTCAAAAGAATCTTAAGTTATTGGGCGAACAAGCTTTTTGAAGTCAAGGCCCCTGTGACCTTGACCTTTGACCTCAAAATCAATAGGGGTCATCTACTCATCATGACTAACCTCCATGCCAAATATGAAGACTGTGGGTCAAAGGAATCTTAAGTTATTGGGCGGACAAGAAAAAACCGACGGACGCCCGAATGGACAAGCTGATTCCAGTATACCCCCCTTACAACTTTGTTGTGCGGGGGTGTAACAAAACAAATCTATGAACTTTATTCAACCACCTATCCTGCAACAAAACAAATATATGAACTTTATTCAACAAATGATAGTGTTGGGTTTTTGCATTATTTAATAATAACAGATATACATTTGCTAATAATTACCTATCTGTATCAAAATATGTTGCCTAGCAACTGGCATTCTATCATTACCATAGAGATAAAAGTCTACCATACAGTCTGGATGAAATTATATTATAACAAGAGCTGTCCGTAAGACAGCGCGCTCGACTTTTTTATTGCTTGCCAATAAAAAAAGTTTTTGCAGTAAAAGGCAATACAAGAATCTCTGTATTTTTAAAGTGAACTAGTTGTTTGATACCCTTGAATATTACAGCAATGTTTATATGACATAATTTATGGTAAAGTGAACAAGTGGATAGGAATGAATTTTTTTAGATTTTTAAAGTTTTTTAGTGCTTGCCTATAATACAAAACATTGACAGTTAAGGGCCATAATTCAAATAAAATCTTTGACAGAATTACCTTCTCCTGGACATGTTTGGGAATCATGATTGTAAACAAGTATTCCAACTTTCAAATTAATATCTCAAACAGTTCAGTCAAAAAGTGGACTGGTACTAAAAACTTAACCAAGATTCTAAGTCGATAAAAGGCCTTAATTTTTAAAACAAATCCTTGACAGAGTTACCTTCTCTTGCGTACAGATGGGGGTAATGATGTGAAATAGCATTAAAAGTTTCAAAGCAATATCTCAAAGGGTTAAGGCAATAAGTGGATTTTACCCATATTCAATGTATTTTCTAAGTCAAAAAGGGGCATAATTCTGTCAAAAACCTTGACAGAGTTATGTCCTCTTGTCTGTTGATGAAGGTCGTGATGGTAAACAAGTATGGTCAGTTTCAAAGCAATACCTCCAATGGTTTTGAAATAAAGTGAGGTGGTACAAAAAACTTAACCAAGCTCAATACACTTTCTAAGTCAAAAAAGGGCCATAATTCTGTCAAAAACCTTGACAGAGTTATGTACTCTTGTCTGTAGATGGAGGTTATGATGGTGAACAAGTATGGTAAGTTTCAAAGCCATACTTGTAATACTTCTGAAATAAAGTGGGGTGGTACGAAAAACTTAACCAAGGTGTGACGCCAACGCCGACGCCGGGGCGAGTAGGATAGCTCCCCTTTTCATAGAAAAGTCGAGCTAAAATAAATAGTAAATTTAAAAAATGATTTTCAGAAAAACATGAACACTTTATCTTTGACTGAGCGTTAACAAAAAACAAGTGTTGACATTTTAGAATTCTTTATTCCAATAGTTAAAAAGAACATACCTGGTTTTTCATAGAGAACATTAAATGGTTGTACCAAATCATGCTTGACACATTCTACAACTCCCATCCTGGCCTTCACCTCTTCATCAAATAACCTGTATCAATAAATATCAAACTTTCATCTTGATTTAAAAACAACAAATCATGAATGTCACTGCAGACAGACATATCACCCTGTACAGGAACCATGACCTTTGACTTAGACAAACGAAAATCTACACAACTCTCCCTACCTACTCCCCATGTGGTTGGGGCATAAAAAATAACAACCACTTTTTCCAATGTTGACATCTCGACTTTGCCCCAATATAGAGCTACAAGAATTCCAAATCGCAAATTTTTATTTCAAAGTATGTTTCAAATATAAACAAGCAATACCCCAGACACACAACTACACATGCTGGCTAACATTCTGTTTCATGACTTGAGGTCAAATACTTTTTGAGTTACGCACAACATAAGTTAACAAGAGCACCGCTAGGCGGAGCATTATATGCCCGAAAGTATTTTTTTTTTAGTAAGGATGACCTTAACCGTTGACCTTTTGACCCCAAAATCAATAAGGGTCTTCTACCCAATATGGACAATCATCCTATGAAGTTTGAACATTGTGGGCCAAATGGAACTTAACATATGCTCCGGCAACTCTTTTCAGTATCAAGGTAATAGTGACCTTCACCTTTGACCTTTTGACCCCAAAATCAACAGGGGTCTTCTACCCAATATGGACAATCATCCTATGAAGTTTGAACATTGTGGGTCAAATGGAACTTAAGTTATGCGTGGAAACATATTTTTTCAGTATCAATGTAATAGTGACCTTCACCTTTGACCTTGTGACCCCAAAATCAATAGGAATCTTCTACCCAATATGGACAATCATCCTATGAAGTTTGAACAGTGTGGGTTGAATGGAACTTAAGTTATGCTCTGGAAACTGTTTTCAGTTATAAGGTAATAGTGACCTTGACCTTTGACCTTTTGACCCCAAAATCAATAGGTGTCTTCTACCCAATATGGACAATCATCCTATGTAGTTTGATCATTGTGGGACAATTGGAACTTAAGTTATGCTCCGGAAACTGTTTTCAGTATCAAGGTCATAGTGACCTTGACCTTTGACCTGTGACCCCAAAATCAATAGGGGTCTTCTTCCCAATATGGACAATCATCCTATGAAGTTTGAACATTGTGGGTCAATTGGAACTTAAGTTATGCTCCGGAAACTGTTTTCAGTTATAAGGTAATAGTGACCTTGACCTTTTGACCCCAAAATCAATAGGGGTCTTCTACCCAATATGGACAATCATCCTATGAGGTTTGAACATTGTGGGCCAATTAGAACTTAAGTTATGCTCCGGAAACTGTTTTCAGTATCAAGGTAATAGTGACCTTCACCTTTGACTTTGTGACCCCAAAATCAATAGGGGTCTTCTTCCCAATATGGACAATCATCCTATGAAGTTTGAACATTGTGGGTCAAATGGAACTTAAGTTATGCTCCGGAAACAGTTTTCAGTTTTAAGGTAATAATGACCTTGACCTTTGGACCCCAAAATCAATAGGGGTCTTCTACCCAATATGGACAATCATCCTATGAAGTTTGAACATTGTGGGCCAATTGGAACTTAAGTTATGCTCCGGAAACTGTTTTCAGTATCAAGGTCATAGTGACCTTGACCTTTGACCTTGTGACCCCAAAATCAATAGGGGTCTTCTGCCCAATATGGACAATCATCCTATGAAGTTTGAACATTGTGGGTCGAATGGAACTTAAGTTATGCTCCGGAAACCGTTTTCAGTTTTAAGGTAATAGTGACCTTGACCTTTGACCTTTTGACCCCAAAATTAATAGGGGTCTTCTACCCAATATGGACAATCATCCTATGAAGTTTTAACATTGTGGGCCAAATGGAACTTAAGTTATGCTCCGGAAACCAAATTGCTAACGGACGGACGGACGGACGAACAGACAGACAGACGGACGCCAGGGGGTATAACATAATATGCCCTTTCGGGCATATAAAAAGTTGCAAACCTTTTACTAAGTCAAGGGCAATTACTCTACAAATACTGAATAAACCCACAAATATCAAGCTGCATAACTACAGATGCTGACCAACATTCCTGATAAGTTTCATGTCCCCAGGTCAAATACATTTTGAGCTATGGGAAAATTGCAAATTTTTACTATGTCAAGGGAAATAACTCAACAAATACTGAATAAATGCACAAGCAACCCCCAGGTGCATAACTACAAATACTGACAAATATTCCTGTAAAGTTTACAGACTCTAGGTCAAATAAAATTTGAGCTTCAACACAAATTGATAATTGCAATTTTTTACCATGTCCAGGCCAATTACACTTACTGAATTAAACCAGACACAAACTTTAGGTGCACAACTTTACAAACTGATAATTATTCCTGTAAAGTTTGTTGACTTTAGATCAAGTTCTTGTAAACCCAGATGTGACACAACATTATGGAACGCTCACACTGAGCGGACAGACAAGGACAAATCTAAAATGCCCCCACCCAACCCACCAAAGGGAAACATGGCCATCTTTTCAGAAATATGACTTCTGACATTATTGACATACAGATATAATCTGCCTTTTAATATGATGACCCATCTAGAACTGAACATGTTCATATTATGTGCTAATTTATAAAACTAAATCTGTCCGGGAATCAGGACATGACCATCAATGCATTTTGGGCCATCCTTAATAATATACATGTTTGCTATTGCCGACCCAGAGTTATAAGAAGTGGGTCGGTAGGTAGGCTTTTTTTTTTTTTTTTTTATATATATATGATTTTTACTGAACGTAAGTTTATACGCTTAGTACGTTGTAGCAGATTGTGGAAATTTGGACTACACTATCATCATCGGCGACGGCAAAACTGACATGTAAAAGACAGTCAAAAACAATAAAAAAAACATGTTCACTAGTAATCATAACATGAAATAAAAAAAACGACTATGTGGACATAAATTCAAGCATGGTCAAATTACCGATGTGATAAACTAATCCTGCGTAAATATTCCCGTACAAACTGGAAAAATTATAGTGGATCTCCAGGACATTTCATTCTCTCGGGTGATCATTACTCAATTCATTACATGTTTGTAAAAAATAACACACGCAAGATTTGTCTCCTATAATTTCTGAATGGCAGATATTTGCACCCCTGTTTTAAAAATGTTAAAATATTTCATTGTTAGTTACCGAAAATTATCGCCGAATGTTGAAATTCCATAGCGCTAAAAGACACAAAAACACTCGCGCAAAAAGTAGCATCCATAAATAAAAGGAATATAATGTTTCCATTGTTAAATATTAATTACAAAATTTACACACGAAATGACCTCTGACAAATGACTGGTCCGCTCTTCTGAAGAATCTGTGAATCTTTGATGTTTACACACCTGTAGTTGTTGCCGAATCATCAAAGAAGTGCCGACACTCAATTGACTTCCACCTCTTTTTTATATACCAGAAAAAAAACTGTCATTTCTTTTTGTCAATGAATGATTACACATGTTTAATTATTGCTCAAGTAAAAAAAAATGTTGGATATTTATTGTGTCAATTATTGACATATTATTAATCGTAAGTGCATTTTGACATGGAGTTTAATTAGACGTATGTATATCTGTGATTTTGATTGTGATATTTTATTTACATTTTTATGATCTTGAAGATATTGTGCAATACGTGTGTTTGCTATCAAAACAATAATGCATATGAAAGGACCACAGCTTCCAAAAAATTATTTTTTCGGTCAATTTAATGACAGAATCCCCGCTGCTACCAGAAATGTTTTATTGCATGGGCTAAGTATTTAATCAGTGTCGGCAGTCATAAACAAACGAACATGTATTCCAAAGCACATTAAAATTACCACATGGTAAACTAGTGACCATGTAAATGCTTTACAAATATTCATTAATTGAACAAACATTATTTTAAATCCCGTTTCCACACCTTAATTTGATACGTTCTATTATTAGTTAATTCAACTTAATTGCCGCGCGCATGCAGTACTGCGTGACGTATTAGGAAAATATCCTTCCCTGGTTGGTCGCTATTTATGTAAATATTTTAAATAGGAACGCACAGAATGCCCTCATGAATGATCAATCGTTACTTTACATATTACATGTGTGATTTTCCTCCGATTTTATTTTTGTTTTCGAGGGATATTTTTAGGTCGAATGCCCTGGCTGATTTGGCGGAAATAAAAAAAAAATCTGATATTTTTAAGCTGAAAAAAACTTTTGAGTCGGGGCATTTTCGCTGGGTCGGCCGGCAATAGCAAACGGATAATTTTTTAAGAGTGGCCTTGGTGAAAAATTCATATCACAACAGTGACCTTTGGGCTGTAGATGAAACTTTTGTGCCAGACACAACAAATTCCCATCTTTATTGGTAACAACTCACAATCAAGAAATCACTTTAAAAATATTCTATTCTAAGTTCACAGCATAAAGCAATTTTTAATAATAAATCTTGTATTTGATATCATCAACCATTATTACCAACAGATATGTAGAAAATATATTAATATTTTAATATTCATAAGTGAAATCTCCATTACATTGTAATAACACAAGTTATAAGTTATTTATGAAATAAATAAATCAAATACTTCTGTGACAATTCTAAAACAATTTTAAACATCCAATAAAACATGTTTTTATTTATTGAATATCTGTACACACCTGAGAGTAAATGGCATTAGACCAAATTTCTTTTCCGTCTCGCTGAGGAATTCTGTAATAAAAACAAAACCATGCAATAAATGTTTCCTGGCCGTTCCTATAACTGACAATACATGAATACAAATTATACAAATGAAAATCATTTTGTGATAGTTACAGAATTTCAACTGACAGGGGTTTGATATTTCAGTCGTCAAACAACTCTAGTGCCAATTAAATAACTATTTTAGTTTTCTTCAATAATGTTATCACACTCAAATATACTAAACATGTTAACATTAGGAAAACAAAAACAATAAATTATAAATGTTATAAAGTACTCACGTCTAGAAGCTTTCATTTTAAGTTGATAGACTATATCTTTCTTTTTAAACACTGTTGTCCTGGTATCCATCTCTCTTCCCTGTAAATTCAACGTAAAAACTTATGATCATGTGATATATTACAGTGTACATATAGTTATAACATCACGTCATTACTTAAACATATATTACCAACATTTATCTTACCTTCTGAAAAATAACGGTGCACATAAGATTTTATTGATAGAAAAGAAAACATTTACTAACAGATAAAATCATGCAACCATGCATCATTGTTGTCCTTTTTTAAATGCGTGACTTAGGGTGCAATGTAAATATAGCTTACTACAATGATTACCCTAGTAGTCTCATTATGAAAACATAACTGTCAAATTACATTGCACTAGCATGTGTATAGCCAGACACCAACAGTTTCTTATTTTGACAAATAAAACAAAAATCTACAAAATCAGACATATTTTTATGCAAGATCAGCTCTAAGGCAACTTATTTCTGCTTATCAAATCCTGCACCTGCTGGCTCAAGCTTAAATTGTGTCTGTCTGCAGATGTTAATGCATTTAACAAGGCATATAAATGGTCTATTTTAACATGCTATTTAGCCAAAATGAACATCAATTGGCAAAATACCTTTGACATATAGTTAGTTAACTCAATCCTTAATATAACAGATTTAACCAGTCACAGTTATTACTGACATATGGATGTCTGTTTGTTTTTGTTTGGATTTTAATTCACAATGACACATTAAAGGTCATATGGCAGTTTAACTGGTAGAGAGTGACCTCAGGTGCCCCATTTTGTATTATTTCCGGCACAAGAGGGCACACCAAGTAGACACACAGTAGAACCAGACTTTTCCCTGTACTAAAAGCAAGGCAAAACAACATTATAGTACTTGTATGAAAAAATTTTCTTTCTTGTCGACATGTGACCTTGATCTGTAACCTACAAAACTGTGTCTTGAATGTCACATCATCACAATATGCAATATATTCATTCAAAATTATCAGATGAATAACAGTTATATAACCGAACAAAAAGCATTTATATACTTAGGTAGCAACTCTTTAAGTTCTCCCTATTGTTCTTTAAGTCACAAGAGTTAATGTAACTACATAAAAGAACATAGATGCAGGCCTCAATGAATTTTATCGGGCCACTCTCCAAGCAGAGAGTGACCCTACAAATTTATTGCTCTTCATAAAATGCACGCCCCCCTGCATTTTGACAGACAAAATTTGTAAAAATCGAACAAAAAAAAGGAAATTTACTAATTACCAGTCTATAATGGGGGATTGGCTTTATTTAATTACATATTGTTCAATAATGTTCATTATACTTCTATTCTTTTATTAAATAATCTTCAACATAGCCTGAATACTTATTCCATTCCAATAATATGTCGACCGCATGGCTAAGTATAAAACATTACCGCATGTGTATGTATTAAACATTGTTGAATGTTGCTGGCGTTACAGAATCAATTCATCATACACATTAGGTTAAGTTTTATACTTAGTCATAAGGTCAGTTTCCGGTTGACAGTGTAACGATTAAAATGGCTTCTGCTGTTTGATAGTTTACTGAATAAATTCATTTATATTGAATATTTAGAGAACATAACTAGAAATGTGTCATCATGCCATGTATTTTCATACAATGTTCAAGGCACTGAAATTATTCAGTCTTAACCTTTTGAAAATAGCATATTGCATATTTGTAGCCAAAATAATGGCTACATACCTTTCCATAAAAGTATGAGTGCTGAAACTGAAAGTTTGTCCAAAATCATTGAACCACGACCAAATTCAAACTTCTTATTCCTAAGATGTATCTATATTATTTTCAAAGTGAAAGGGACATAACTCTGCAAAAAAATCATCGAACCATGACCAAATTCCAACTTGACCTGCCCATTCCTTTGACATATCCATATGTCAAATTTGAGTTGAATATGTAACACTGTTGGGTAGATAATGAACAGAAACTGTAAATTTCATATTATTTTCAAAGTGAAAGGGGCATTACTCTGCCAAAAATCATTGAACCATGACCAAATTCGAACTTGGCCTGGGCATTCCAAAAACATATCCATATGTCTAATTTGAGTTGAATGAAAGAGGCATAACTCTGCCAAAAATCATCGAACCATGACCAAATTCCAACTTGACCTGTATTTTCTTAAGACATATCTATATGTCAAGTTTGAGTTGAATGTGTTGTACCGTTGGGGAGATAATGAACGGAAACTGAAAATTTCATATTATTTTCAAAGTAAAAGGGCATAACTCTGCCAAAAATCATCGAACAATGACCAAATTCCATCTTGACCTGTATTTTCTCATGACATATCCATATGTCAAGTTTGAGTTGAATGTGTGCAACCGTTACTAAGATAATGAACGGATACTGATGATGACAGAATGAACGAATAACCGAAGGACGGAACAGGGTAACACTATATGCACCGGCCATTACATGGCGGGGGCATAATAAAAACTATGTCTCTTTTCCAGGTCATAAAAATTTGTGTGTAAGTAACAAGAGCTGTCGGTAGGACAGCAACGCTCGACTATTCTTAGTGCTTGATAGTAAAAAAAGCCTTGATAAAAAGGTAAAATTTTCTCAGTAAAGAAAAAGGCAAAATTGTTCTTTAAATCCATATTACAGTTATAGGCCTTGGAGAGAGTCCTATTATGCTCTCAAAGAAGAGTATAAAATTTCAACATGTTTCAAAGCCTTATGTCAATCAATTTTGAAAATATTTGAGGTATTACAAAAACTTTAACGTAAATTCTAAGTCGAAAAAGGGGCATAATTCTGTCAAAATGCTTGATTTAGTTACCTCCTCCTGTCTACATGTTTGGGGCATGATGGTGAACAAGTGTGCAAAGTTTCAAAGCCATATGTCAATGGACTTTGAAAATATTTGAACTATTACAAAAACTTTAACGTAAATTCTAAGTCGAAAAAGGGGCATAATTCTGTCAAAATGCTTGATAGAGTTACCTCCTCCTGTCTACAGGTTGGGGTCATGATGGTGAACAAGTGTGCAAAGTTTCAAAGCCATATGTCAATGGACTTTGAAAATATTTAAACTATTACAAAAACTTTAACGTAAATTCTAAGTCGAAAAAGGGGCATAATTCTGTCAAAATGCTTGATAGAGTTACCTCCTCCTGTCTACATGTTGGGGTCATGATGGTGAACAAGTGTGCAAAGTTTCAAAGCCATATGTCAATGGACTTTGAAAATATTTAAACTATTACAAAAACTTTAACATAAGTGGTTATGCCGACGCTCGGGTGACTACAATAGCTCAACTTATTCTTATCGAATAGTCGAGCTAAAAATAAATATATTCCTTGTCAAAACAAATGAACCTACAGTACAATAATAATTCATGCAATCTTACCTTGCCTTCACCAGAACTGACTAAAACATCTATACCATATACTTCATATACATCAAACTCACATTTTTCATGATCTTTCCTGAAAAATAAGTGCTTTTTTAAACATCAAAATAAATAACAAGAAACATAAAATTTTGTTGTAGTTGGGATACAAATACAAGCAATATACAAAATATGAATATGCAAAAAGTTTTTTTTTTGAAAATCAGATGGAAAAACTAATATTATATTGACCTTGATCGTGGAGGGGGGACACTACGGGGACCCAAATGCAATCCCAAGTAGCATGCTTAAGCTTTGCAGCAAGTTTCATTGAAATATCTCATTCCAAAGTCAGTTTTTGGCTGAAAACCCAATTTTCTATTTAGAGTGACCTTGGCCCTAACGGAGCCTGTGCAATCCCAACCGAGGTCTTGCTTGCTATACAGTAAGTTTCATTCAAAACTCTAGATATTTACTGGTAAGCAATTTCCTATCCTTGGTTTATATATGCTTATAGACACTCTTTCCAATCCATTCCTGGAACCAACCAGTACTGAGCAATGAGTGTAAAATTTCTTGCTCAAGGAAACAACAACTTGCCCCTGACGGAGTTTGAACCCATACGGCTAGCAATCATGAGATTACTAGTCTGTCGTGTTAACCATTCGGCCATAGAATTCTATAATTTTCAAACAAATCAAAACATTGTAGTTTTAATCAACAAGTATAAAGTTAGATAAAAACATAGAAGAAACTTTTTCCATATCACTGTGTCAATGGAAAAATACCAAAATTTGATGAAGCTACACACAACAAGTTTTTTAATGTAGACGATGGCCACTTATCAAAGTTTGACTTTGTTTCAAAAATACAATTATAAAAGATTCACATGGTTTATTTCAATTCTATGAATTATAATCACCATTTTTATATACATGCCACTGAATTCATCACATTTACTTACCTCTGATTTTCAGAGGGATTCTGAATTATTGCCTTCTCACCATCTATAACATTTTTCTTTAATTGATGTGACAACATTCCTGTAAGAATTTATCATATTTTAGATATATGCCTTCTTTTTAATAGCATTATTCAGAAGTAAGATATCCTAATTTCACATGGTTCAAAAAACATGTTTGTAATAGAGGAGATGAATATTCTGGACAGTGTCAGATTTCACAAATCATAACCATATTTGTGTTTGTTTTTTGATTTCTAAATGAAACACAGCTAATTGTATATATGTTTATGACTATATATCATTATTTACTAAAAGAGTAAAAGAAAAGACAACTTCTCAGGTACATTTACAACTTGCAAGGTAAGGATAGTTGAGTTATTGTTATTCTAAGTTCAATTTTGTTACAGTTAGATTTACTTGAAAATTTCAGTCCCACAAGAGATTTCCTGCAAACAATGAAAGTGTCAAGCACAGATTTCTATCGTAAAAGCAAATGGTACATTTCAGGCACCTTATCACGGTCATTTATCCTGCATTTTCCTGGAGGGCGTTTCCTCTCTTACATGTATTGCTTCTCTAATACTTTATGTACTTACACTTTCTCCTATACATGTATACCATCTATTTTAATTATGTTCAAGCATAAAAATGTAAACATGACCTTATGTCATCTTCTACACATTTTTTCTGTTTAAAATATTTACTAGTTTATTGTAATGTACTAACCTTCAATAGGTTTACATTTAAATGCCTCTGCTACTCTCTGTATTCCGTCTGTAACTGTGTAATTCTGTAAAGTAACAATACACTATGATGATAAATTTCCTACCAGTACACCTCCCATCATTGCTACTAGGAATCACAATTCTCTTTTATTATAGTTTGCCACCATAAATCAATCATTTCAGATATTTGTGTAAACAGGGATCTATAACAGTTTTTAAGAGAAAATTTTAATTTCGTCTACAATATCAGGTTATAAGTTGCATCACTATCTTTATTATGTTATCCTGTGATGGTATACCAGTGGGTTTTTTCCACCAAAATATTCGGCAAAATTCAGCCCCATTCCCACCTCAAAATAGTATGTTTTTTTCCCTCATCAAAGCCGAAATGTTCCCCCATACGACAGCCAGAATTTGACTGCAATGAATATCATTTTTTGCAACTAACTGCTGAAAAATGTTTCTTTTTATGCCTGTAAGACTTACTGTTAAGCAAGGTTGTTTACAAATCGTTCCCCAGTAGGTAAGGGGAGCTACTCATGGTTTCCCATCAAGTTTAACATAGGACGCTTTAAATTCAGCTGTTGATATTTTAGATTCGTATGTTGATATTTTAGATTCATATATTAAGAAAGAGCGACTTATTTTAAACTTGTGTTGCAAGAGTTGCTCCCTTTTCTACCGGAAAGAAAACAATGTTGCACAACAGTAAATCAAAATTATCTTACAGGGCACTGGATTCTTTTTCGTTTCTCATTTGTGAAGAAATAAAATTCCCACCTCCTATTGCATTTTCCCCCTCCAAAGGGCACAGACCCCCTTCTCTCTGTATACCACTGGTTCTCTTTCATGCAACAACTGTATAGTTAATGACTGAGCTAAAGCATAAGGTGAAAATATTCTATACCATAACATGAAAATATTCTCTATCAGTAAAATGAATAAATATGTACAAGTTACACATTACGTGTTGTTATAGAAAGATTTACTTACCTCAGCACCAGGTTTGACCATACGTAAAGCTATTTCTGCTGCATTAACTGCTGCCATCATTACATCTGCTTTACGACCAGTTACCTTGTTACTCTAATAATACAATATATTATCTCACATTATTACATTAATCTATATAAATTTAGCACTTCATATCTAGAAGGTTTGGTAATGAAAACAAATGTTCAAGCTTGTAAATACTATGTTATGACTTGATGCTAATTTTCCTCACATTACCCCATTCTTTTATTTTTGTTGTATTTATTTAGTGAATTAAGTACAACCTACATACATGTATAATATATAAGGAACTAATTGTGGTACTCATTTCAATAGGAAATTTTAATTCATTCTTTATTTCTGTGTTTAATTATGCCATTAAAATTCTTGTTGGGATATTAACTTTTGATATTTCATGTGGTTACTTCTTCTGCTAAACACAGGTAAACATCAAACATTTATAAATGAAAGCTTTCACCTTACCTCTGATGCTCCCACTACTAGTGTATGAGCAACAACTGCAATAAAACCATCTATTTGTGCTCCCAAATCTCTGAAATAGTAAGTCATTATAATTTGAGCCGTGTCATGACAAAACCAACATAATGGGTTTGCGACCAGCATGGATCCAGACCAGCCTGTGCATCCGCGCAGTCTGATCAGGATCCATGCTATCAGTTTCTCTACTTGTAATAGGGTTGGTGAGCGAAAGCATGGATCCTAATCAGACTGCGTGCGCGGATGCCCAGGCTGGTCTAGATCCATGCTGGTCGCAAACCCATTATGTTAGTTTTGTCGTGACGCGGCTCATTTATTTAACTAATGTAAGGGCTACTCAACATGTTATACACCAAGTATCTTAAATTCTACACTTTTTGAAGACATTTCACAACATTATTTTGATTTGTTAGGTTCTAACTTACACTGACAATGTCATGACAACTTTAAAGATTTTTTAAGTGAAAAGAGACCTCAGATTCACTTTAATCAGGCTTTCTACTGCCTCTACCAAAAAAACTAGGGAAAAAGTAGGGCATTTTTTTACCAAAAAGTAGGGCAAAGTAGGGATTTCTGATGTTAAAAACTAGGGATAAAGTAGGAATTTCTTACCGTTTTAGTTAAGAATTAGCAAAACATACCATCACCAAGACCACATCGGGCTGTGTGTATCTTCAGTTCAGTCCATGCTTGAAAGACATGCACCTCATAGGCAGAATGTTGCTGAATGTTTTGCCAAGGCACCATGAGCAGAGCTGCATCAGTACTAAGGCTGTAGTACTTAAGAACCAGTTCCAGTACTTGCCAAGTTTTGCAGTACCATTTCCAGTATTAGTACTTGATTTTAGCTTGGTACTGCAGTACCAATACTTTTTTGGGGGAAGTAATTAAGTACCAGTACTAATACTTTTATATATTCATCAAAGTTTGAATAAATACACAGTGTCATTCAAAATAATTGCAAACATTATTCCACAAAGAAATAAAATCATTTACTTTAAAGTTGACATTGCATTTTTACAACTTAAATGAACGAACATACTTTTTACAAACAATAATCATCATATATTCATGTCATATGTTATTGTTTTGTAACCGCAGTCAACTGTAATACAATGCAATAATCTTACATTTTAAACCCACCAGTCTTTTTGTTGCCTTTTACACCTTCACACCTCTGTTCAATTTATACCAAAGTAAATAACTTTTTTATGGTGCTAACAATATCACTTGAAATATGATTATTTAGAATAGAAGTAATTTATTAGTGTTTATTTTGCTCTTTTTTTACTAGTAAATACAAAGTAATAAGATTGCAATAAGGATATTTTACCAGTAAAGAGTTTTTGACTCTGTTTATCTCAATTTAATTTTACTTTAAGTCTTTGGTGCTTTTTTATGATGAATACTATGTTAACATTTGAAGGAATATTGCAGCAAATTATTTATAGATTTGATAACTTACTTTTTCACAAAAATAAAATAATACGTGGAATTTACAGCTTTACTTTATGAGTAAAAATAATGACATTTTTATCAAAACCAAAAATACTGCCTAGTAATGCAGTAGCAGTACCACTTTTTTAAGACAGTAATGCAGTACCAGTACCTGAGTAGTAGCAAAATTTTGTAAGAGTAATTCAGTATCAGTACCAGTACTTGCAAAATTGCAAGTACCAGTACTTGCAAAATTGCTCCAGTATATACTGCAGTACTAGTACCAGTAATGCAGCTCTGACCATGAGTCTTTCAAGGGTGGACATCACAAGGAGACACTAACACACACCTGAACTATTAATCAATTGCAACTGAAATACAACTGAAATACCATTTTAAATATCGTCTTTTTTTTCATTTCATTTCAAAATGAAAAAGTAGGGATAATAGGGCTATTTCAGAAAAAAGTAGGGCAAAGTAGGGATCAAAAGAAAAAAGTAGGGAAAAGTAGGAAAAGTAGGAAAAGTAGGGACCAGTAGAAAGCCTGCTTTAATGCATTATTTCAAGTACAAGCAGCCACTAAAGTTGCAGTCATTTAATTTAAGATTTTGAATTTACTGGCCCAAATTCCAGTCTTGAATTTATTCTACTATATATTTAACTAATTTTCTTAAAATATACACTGACCCAAACTTTCACTGGCCATGGGCCTCTGGGCCAGTGCTAAATTCAATGACTGGAGTTGACCCAGCAACTTGCATTATTTCCTCACATAAAATAACCATGTCACTGATAGGATTTGAACCCAGTGCAGTGAGAGGCATGTGATATGAAGTCTGTGACCAGGCAACCACATTATAACACACATGCTTGGGTCTAAGGTCTCAACATCACATTAAAACTTTCGAATTAATGATACATTGTAGGCTTATCAGGGCCAAAACACCAATTTTGGAGAAGGGGCCTCAGCCTTTTTCTTCGGGGAAAAAAATGCGTGATTTTGGCATACTTTGGGAAAAGGGGTCTCAAATTTAACAGAAACTTTTAACAAGTTCTTCAAAATAGACAAGCAAATTGCACCGGGAAATACAAACAAGGCAGTAAAATACCTTGATTCAACACCATCATTTTTTAAATTTCATATGACATTTGTAAAGCTCACAATTGAAGTTAATTGTTACAAAAAATCAAGTGACTAACTTTTTGATGATCATTTGAGAACTGAAAGTACTTGTCAGCAGATGTAAATATCCATTACTTTTTTTCTTAAGACAGTAAATGTGACATCAAGATGACGTGGCTAAAATATTTACGAATCAGACTGAGATGACTTTTTGAAAGCAGACATGCAATTGAGACCGGATTTAGACTGTTCCTAACAATTGGAAGATGGCAACGACATTAGTTCATATGCATATACAGCTATCCCAAACATTCATTCTGATGATTTTACAAGCATGTACCCACTGCTTACAATTTTTATGCCTGCATGATAAATAAGTGCAGGAATTATGCACTGTAATGCATGGGCATGCTGATTAACACAAACCTGCGCCTGCTTTGCGCATGTTCTGCGTTCACAAGTGTCCTAATTTATTTTTTTAAATTACAATTTTTCATTGTACCTGACTGTTACACTGAACAAGCATTCTAATATTGTAGATTTACTTAAACACATTAATTTAACAAACATAACAAGATTTCATAACTTACATTTTAACTACATCACCATTCTTTATTGTCACATCTGGATCACTTTTGAGGGGAGAAAAATGGCAAATGCAATTATTTACTGAGACACATGTTGGGAAGGCAATACCTGTAGAATGAAAATAAAAATCCATCAATATTAAATAATCATTATACAAGGCTCCTATATGTGTATGCCTATATGTGTAAATTTTTCATGAAAATCATGCATCAAATAAATTTTGGGGTACGCTCAACACAAGTTGAAAATTGCAAGTTTTTAAAAGTCAAGGGCAATAACTCTACAATTACTGAATAAATCAACAATCACACCCCATACGCACAACTTCACATGCTAACCAATAATTCTGTAGTTTCATGACTCTAGGTCAAATACTATTTGGGCTTCTCGCGACACAAGTTGAAAATGGACAAGGGCAATAACTCTGACAAAACTGAATTAACTGAATTTTTTGAAGGAAGAAGATGAGCTCAAAATAAAACCTCTATAAACTGTGTCAGCACTCTTGACAAAAACCAAAAACTATTTTAAAACACATACAATACCTTTTTTCATTTCTTTATCTTTTTTGAACACTTTTCCCGTCTCTTCATTTAATCTGGTGTCTCCAAACACACATATACTAAGGACAGATGCTCCATCTACACACTTTCCTATAACCTCCTTCAATATACCTGGAATACAACAGACATCAACAGTGTAGAAGTTTGGAAGTACAACTAAATACTGTTATAACTGATTTAACTTATGAATAATGGAAGCTACATAAAATACAAGAGGGCCATGATGGCCCTGAGGTCGCTCACCTGTATATAGGCCCCCCTGTTTAAACCCCAGGGCTTTTATTTGAACAAACTTGGAAGACACCCAATGACTTTCCCCCCACTCTTTCCCCCCCACCCCGGCAGGGCCAATTTTAACCCAAAGGCTTTTATTTGAACAAACTTGGTAGACACCCATAAGAAGATGTTTCATGCTAAACATCTAAGCTCTAGCTCATTGGGATTTTTCAAAGAAGATTTTTTAATTTTTTACTATACACATATAGTTAAAAAGTTAAAAACTATGACACCCCTGGGACGGGGCCAGTTTTGACCCCAGGGCTTTTATTTGAACAATCTTTGTAGACACTTACTAGAAGATGTTTCATGCTCAATATCTAAACTCTAGCTATTTGGGTTTTTTCAAAGAAGATTTTAAGTTTTTGCTATACACATATAAGGAAAATCAATTACCCCCGCGGTGGGGCCAATTTTGACCCTAGGGCTTTTATTTGAACAAACTTTGTAGACACTCACTAGAAGATGTTTCATGCTCAATATCTAAACTCTAGCTATTTGGGTTTTTTCAAAGAAGATTTTTTAAGTCTTTGCTATACACATATAATAAAAATCAATGACCCCTGGGGCGGGGCCAATTTTGACCCCAGCGCTTTTATTTGAACAAACTTGGTTGACACCCATTAAAACATGTTTCATGCTAAATATCTTAGCTCTAGCTCTCTGAGTTCTTTTCAAGGAGATTTTTTAAGTTTTTACTATATGCACATAGGTAAAGGTGTCATCGATAAGGATTTTTGTATCGATATATCAGTAATGAATTATCGGCGATACAGCGATATATCGATTGTCAAGCTAAATTTTAGCTTTTAAGTCTTTTTAACTGTTTCCTAAAGACAAAGCAGTTATATTTAAACAAATGCAAAAAAGATATAAACTATGAAAACAGAACAATGTGTTTCTTTTTTCATCATATAACTATAAATGAAAACTAATGACTAGTAACTAAAAAGTTTAAAGCATTTTCCATTTAACTTTAGTTGTTGTTGTTGTTATTACGTAGTTACTGATCATGCTAAATCCAGTCCTTGCCGTTCCAATTAAGCCGGGTTAAATTGGCAAATTAAAGTATTTAGAACCGGAATAATTATTAAAGTTTATATGGGCTGAAAACACAAAAGGGCAGGAGGGAGTGGCAAATTTGAAGAAACAACTGACGGAGTACGTGTCTTGACAAAAACTGTAACTAAAAGGCGCCAAAACCGAACCTAAATACAGTTTGGCGTAATGATACAAAAGTGACCCTCAGGGCCCTCGATCAACCAAATCTGCGGCCGATATTCGGCCGCAGTCCCCCACCAAAATAGTATGTTTTTTCCCCCTAACAGAGGTAAAAATTCCCCCTCAAAACATATAAAGTGTTAAAGAGAAAAATTAAAAGTAATGTTGTTTTTGAAAATTAAAATCCATCTATTTGACGTCTATTTTGTAAGCAGAATATCGTCAGTACATGTCTGCACGTTTCCGTTTGTTTATTCCCCCAAAATCTACCGTCACATATTGGCCTTTCATCCTGTAAAAATGCTAAAATTTCAACAGAAATATGCAGAAGAAAATCACAATTCCCATCAACAATTTGATTTCAAATTGTTTATTCATGAAATCATTTTTTTTGTCTTCAAAATGTTACATCAACCACGGTAAATTTTGCCGTGAATTACAAACTTGTAAGTTTTGTTTTCATGATACTTTATTAAATAACTGATGAAAAACGATCTTATAATAAACAATCAATTTAATTTTATATAATTTACATCAGAAACAACTAGAATTGTGGATGTGTAAACAGAAAACAAACAAATTTTCATTTGTCACATATTTTCGCGAGGCCGATTTTTACGAATGTTTTACAAAGTCAAGAAAAGGAAGCTTTGTCTTATTAAAAGGTGTGTTAGAACACTAGAAATGTAGTGTATGAATAGAATTTACTTTATGTCCATGTATTGTTCATATTAGTGGAAATGGAGACATTTGTCTGGATGTGTTTCTAAATGATTGGGGGGGGGGGGATCATAGAGAAAGCTAAGCAGCATAAAGATCTGATGGTGTAAGGTCACATGTAAAAAACTTTTCTTCAAATCTTATCAATCACTTCTGAACAGTTTAGTGTTACCTATTATGGATTTTTTACATGTAAATAAAAAACAGCTGATATTTAAATAAGTGTATTTGATAATAAAAGAAAAGAGAAAAAATTCCCCCCATACACTAAAATTCCCCCTGCTGAGGGTAGCGACCCGCTTCCCCCAAATTGGATTGAGGGCCCTGACCCTTGACCTAACTGTTGACATAACCAATCAAAAAGGTTGTTTATTAAAATCACGGACTTATATTACAAGGATCCGACACTTTCGTTTAGCTTAAAGTCTCGTCGCGCGTATGCGCGGAATTGCACATCGGATAAAGGTGGACAGAATGAGAGATGGCGGAACGCGCGGAGTGCGAAATATGACAGATTTTCATAAGAGTATGTGGTGTTATTGCAGCTTTGTGAAAAATTAAACACATATGAATGTATTGATACAGTATTATTTTGTGCCCCTAAAGTATAAATATATGAAAATGTGCCGATAGAACGATGCAACGCTTAGTTAACTAGAAATGTGTCCATAGGACACGGATGCCCCCACACGCCACTGTTCTGTCAATCTTATGACTGTAGCTCAAATATTCTTTGGACTACAAGTGCCACAAGTTGAAAACTAAAAATCAACAAAGGGCCATAATTCTGTTAAATTTGGTCGCAGCAAAAATTCCTTCCTTTACTACCATCTACACATTAAGGTTGTTCATCCCTGTAAGTTTAAGCAAAATCTGCCATCCGGTTTAAGAGGAGTTGCGTTCACAAAATTTCTACATAGTATATAGTGAAAAAATCAACAAAGGGCCATAATTCTGTTAAATTTGGTCGCAGCAAAAATTCCTTCCTTTACTACCATCTACACATTCAGGTTGTTCATCCCTGTAAGTTTAAGCAAAATCTGCCATCCGGTTTAAGAGGAGTTGTGTTCACAAAATTTCTACATAGTATATAGTGAAAAAATCAACAAACGGCCATAATTCTTTTAAATTTGGTCGCAGCAAAAATTCCTTCCTTTACTACCATCTACACATTAAGGTTGTTCATCCCTGTAAGTTTAAGCAAAATCTGCCATCTGGTTTAAGAGGAGTTGCGTTCACAAAATTTCTACATAGTATCTAGTGAAAAAATCAACAAAGGGCCATAATTCTCTTAAATTTGGTCGCAGCGAAAATTCCTTCCTTAACTACCATCTACTCATTAAGGTTGTTCATCCCTGTAAGTTTAAGCAAAATCTGCCATCCGGTTTAAGAGGAGTTGCGTTCACAAGATTTTGGGACGTACGGACGGACTGACGGACGGACTGACGGACGGACTGACGAACGGACGGACAAGTGCAACGCTATATGCTCCCACATTGTGGGGGCATAAAAAGTACCTAATTTAAAAAATATTCGCCTATTGCTTAGGCATACTATCTACACTTTGGCGCCCTTTGACTTCAAGCACAAATTATTACCGCAATTCAGATTAGGATAATTATTTTTTACATCAGGGCTCACACTGGCTCAAATAAAATAAAAGCCAATATTTTTAACTTAAAAAAATAATAGCCAAAAGTTAAGCGGACTATTCACGATTTAGCGATAAACAACATAAGCAGTTGATTAAATAAACATTCCATATAAAACTTTTTGAGTTTTATAAGTAATAGTTATAGAATATATACATGGACTTTACCGGCAGGTATCAGCGCATGGGGCGACAACAAGGGTCAATCATAGGAAATTTATCGAGACAGAACGTCAAGATTAATTTCCATGATTGACCCTTTTGTCTCCCCATGCGCTGATACCAGCCGGTGAAGTCCGAGTATTTATTCTGTAACTATTTTATCGCATGACCATCACGACTTTTTTCTTCTCTCGTAATATTTTCTTTATTTAAACATATAAATATTTTAAGAAATATCCACAGAAATACACCATCAGATGCCGTTGAAGGAACTGGACATAAATACCCATTTCACAAGGTAAGTTGATGCATTTTTTCTACATGCGAAATAATAATCATCTTTCCAGCTCATTTTCAAAATATAATCTAGGAAATATTGTCGATAAGTATCCCGGTGTATATTTCAGAGGTATATCTTGAACCCATATTTTTTTAAAACTAACGACAATGTAGTGATTTTTTCTTAAAGGCACATTATGCCTCAGAAATCCTTTTTTATTAAATTCTTAAGAAATTTAAAACACATGTTTAAAAATGATTTAATAATGCCTTATGGATTTAGAACATGTAAGATATTTAACAGCTGAAGAAAGTAGTGCTGAATGTGCAATAATGTGTCGTAAAGGTAGCAAAATGTAAACAAATAATATTTTGACTTTCATACAAAATACTAATTCATTATAATTATACCAATTGCCAGCAAAGCAAAAGATATAAAGATAGTTCATTTATATGGCAAATAAGTATTTTTTGTGGAACTTGTAACAAGACACCAAATATTTAAAATTTTGAGAAATAAAAATGATAGCATTTCTGACGCATAATGTGCCTTTAACTATGCTTCCATCTATTTATAATTACGCTAGAATAATACGGGGAAGTCAAAGACCGGGCCCGCAAAGCAGGTCTGGGCTTTGGCTTGCCCGGCTATAGACTACACGTGACGTGTATATTTAAAAGAAAATCAAATAAAAAACAATTAAAAAATATATAGAATTCTATACCTATCAATGAAATTTTCAGTGTCAGTTCTAGTCAGGCGCCGCCATTTACAATGTAACCCAATGATAAAAGGCGGGGC